GGTGCTGCTGGGGCTGTCCCTCTGCCTGCTGAGTCACAGCTGGCACTTCAGAGCCTGAGTTCAAACAACCAGCAGGAAAAACCCACTACTTTCATTCATGCAGAATGTTTACTTGCCTCTTGGAATTACCTTATTTATTTCAGCAGTGCCTGTGCAAAATATGGGAGGGCATTAAAGCTCATAAGGAGTTTAATTTTTAGTGTACCAAATAATTCATTTAAAATCTTAAATGAGTTCATGCTGAGAAGAAAACCCTTAGAAGTCAGAGCATTGGAAGGAAAGCTCAGAACCAAACCTAATGATTATTTGACTAACCAGCCCTTCATTAGTTTATTTCTCTAATGAATTATTGAGACACTGCATAGACATCTCAGAATACATTTTTAAAAGCACAACACTGGTCTTAGATTGCAAAAATATAATAGTACTTGTGATATAATAATAATAATAGCAATAAGCACACAAAGTGCTGCATAAACACTAATTAAACCTCAGTGTCCCCAAGCAGCAAGCACAGAAGGCAGGATGCTCAGCACATGTAGTGATTTGAGGTAAAGAGAATAATTAACACCAAATAAAACAACCTTATTCCAAACACAGCTCATGGTACTTGTGGCTGCTCTGCTCTGTGTTACAACAGAGGAACTGCAATCTGCTCTCTGACCAAGTTCCCAATAAATGTATTGATCCCAAATAGCTGTGAGCAGGTTTAGGTTAGGGGAGGGAACTGAATTACTTAAATCATCAAAGCTAACACCTGAGGGAAGTTACCCAAACCTTCTGGAAGCTGCCTCACAGGGCTGTGACCAGCAGTTTGCCACTGGGGGGATCTTGGTTCATGTACCAGCAGCTGTGAGATCCTGGCTGTGGCTGAAGCCCCAGATCCCTTGAGGGGAGCACAGGGACCTGACAGCCCTCCCTGGGCTGTGGCTGCTCTGTGCAAAGGGAATGATTTTGCTCCTGTCAGTCCCATTCCTCACCCGTGCTGAGTTCACCTTGACTCCTCGTCAGGCTGGTGCCAGAAGAGATAAAGAACATGAGTGAATTTGGAGAGAATGTTAAAAAAAAAGCCAAACCCAAATCACCCAGGAAGCTGAGGGTTAAAGGCTCAAAGATGAAGCACAGCATTCAGATGTAAAAGCCCTGTTGCAGCCATAGTCCAGGTCAATAATAAAAGCTTCAGACTGATGGAAAACCTGCCCTGTCAGTAATTTCTATTCCAAGAGATGGTTGTGATGATGCAGTTTACAGCTCGAAGTTGTAATATTCTTTTTTCACAGCATGCACTTGTCCCGCTTTGTCTCTTGCTTAATTACAGCTTTTTCTTTTCTTTTTTCACTATGTGACAAAATTTTAGTTTGACAAAATGGCTTCACTTGTTTTTGTGGTGTCCATCCTATTAGATCTTTCCAGGAATCAAAATGATTTTGCAACAATTGTCAGCAGTGCCTTGCTCTGTGACAGTCAGCTCAGAAATACTTCATGATGAGCTTCAATAGGCACGAAAGGAAAAAGAAAAACGTGGTGGGTGATTTCTGCCTTTACTTGCTGCCCACGTGGGGAATGGAGCCCCTTGGCCACCTGGCTGGTGCCACAGGGAGCATAGAGCAAGCTCCTGGGTGAGCCCAGAGAAAGCTCTTCTGTTCGTCCCCTTCACCCACCAAAAAGGGCAGTTCACTCTCCTGGCCTGGCTAATCCTTCCTTTGCTGGTAATTCCAAAGCCAAGGATATCAGTGAGCCAGTTCCTGTGGTTTTGGGAGATTTTTTTTGATCATATATTTTTCTGGAGATTGTAGCTGCTGAAATTTTATTGCCTGAATCCTTTAGCTCCTGTTCAATCTCATTTGGAAAAAAAAGAAATACTGCCAGCCCTCAGGGCTGTAGAGGAAAGCTTAGGAAAATGAACCCTAAATGCCCTGGCATTCAGACCAATAAAGACAGCCTGGCATCAGTTGTCATGTAAATAACAAGCTTGTAAAATAAACACTGCACATTCCAGCGGTTGTTTGTTAAATCTGCTTCTCCTGCAGTCTGCACTGGGACCTGGTGCCAGCCTTTCCTGGCCAGCAGAGCACCAGCACCATCCTCCTCCTCTTCCTCCTCAGAACTGCCAGGCTGGGAACAACTTTTCCATGTTGGGAGCAGCAGTAGGGGCTCTGAAGATGAGCCAGATGCTTCTCAGGGCTTTTCCTGGAGAGCAGTTCCTGCTCTCTGCCCCTGGCTCCACCTGGACAGGTAAGGGGATGCTTTGGCACGTGGGGTTGGATTTCCCATTTACCTTCACGCATTTAGGAAGGTAAATCCAATTCCTTGCTGGTGATAATGACTTTGTCAGAGATATGTTGAACTTACTTATACCTATTATGCAGAAGATGTTAATCTAAATGTAATCAAACTGCTGTGAGTCACTAGTTCTGAAGTCTGTGTTGAGCTTGCCAGGGGTTAAGTGTAGTAAACACTTATTTCCTGCCAGAGCCGGTTTATTTTTGTAACACAGGAGTTTTCAGTAAGTTTGTACTGGAAAAGTGCTTGGCTAAGGCTTTTACTGGTGAAAACAGACCAAAAATGCTTTGCTCAGATTTTTACTGGCATCAGTAGATGAAATGCTTTCCTCAGTTTTATGCTGCAAGCAAATATATATTGATAACTAAATTAACTCCTTGGTTAATTAAAACACAATATACATTCTAGCAGAGAAAGAGAGCATTCATCCCTAGAAATGTTAATGTGAGAAGATGATGGTTTTAACCTGTGATAGCCAGAGTGTGTGGATACATCCTGTGGGGAGGCTGGGCTGGGCAGAGCTGAGGCAGGAGGCTCAGCCAGAAACAGCCTGGGCAGGGATCTTGTTTGAATATGTGATGCCATATTTAGAACATACATAAAATAAGTCAAAGAGAAAGAAGGATGTCCTTTGACTGCTGCAGAGTAGGAAATTTGTCACACTTGCACCAGTGTTTTGGGGTCCAAGTGCTATTTGGAGGAGGATCGGGGACTAAGTGTCCCATCCATCTCCACTGGCCTCAGGTTCTTGTGGATTTTCTGCCCAGAGACCCTCCCTGGCAGCTGTTTGAGCTGTGTGTTCCTCATGCCCTCCCTCGGCTGCCAGCAGCACTCCTCCAAGCTGCACTTGTCTCCAAACCTTCTGTCCTTTTCTCCTAAACCATCTTTGTGTCCTTTGGTTCCAGCACGAGGGCTGGGACCTGCTGGCCATCCTCTCCAGAGTGCTGGGTCCCCAGGGCTGTCCTGGGGAGGAGGAGATTCCAGGCTGCAGCTGGAAGCAGGAGGAGGAGGAGGAGGAGGAAGGGCAGAGGGCTGATGCTGTCAGTGTGTCACCACTGGTGTGCGCAGTGCCAAGTTCCAGCGTTTATCCAGCGAACTGCCACCCCACCCCTGTCACCTCCCGGCAGAGAGGGACACCCTGGTGAATTCAGCACTCCCCGGGCAGTGTGGGAAGGCAGCTGGCAGGGGGGCAGCACTTTGCTGCACAAACTCGGCAGCAGAACCTACCCTGAAGTGCAATTACTGCTGGTTCCAAGAGTGAAAGCGTCCCTGTTAACACCTCCCTTACTCTATACTCATCAGGTGGATGCAAACCTCCTCACATCCCTACCAGCAAATACCCTCCTGCAAGGAAGCCTTGAGAAAACAGAAATTGTCCAGAATACTGAAATGGAACGCTACCTTTTCCTTCTAAACTTGCTCAAAGTTTAGTTTCACCAGGCCAGATTGCAGAAACCCAGATTGCAGAAATCCAGATTGTCTCTTAATTTACTAAAACATCCCACCATTAAAAATTGCACAGAATTCCCAGTGCCAGGATGCTCTGCAAGAGATATCCTTCCCATCTAACTATGGGGATCCAGAGAAAAGAAAGAAAGCAGAAGTTGTGGATTAGAACAGACCAGGCTGCTTTTGAGTTCTGAGTCTCACATTTCCAGTGACACACCAAATTCCCAAATTTTATGCCCAGCCTCTCCGAGCCTGCGGTTACGGAGGGAACCGGAGAGCCGAACTCCGGCTGGAAGGACGCGGTTAAAGCGGGGAAGCAAGGCTTGGGAGCAGGAGCAGGCGAGGAGCGGCCGCTCCGAGCGCTCGGAGCCGGCTGCGGGAGCCGCACCCGCCGCGGCCCCGGCGCGGGGCGGGCTCGGGGCTCGCCGCGGACCGGGAGCGCCGGTTCGGGCACGAAGCCGTTCTGCGGGTGCCATCCAGGGGACGGGAGCTGCACTTCAGCTGCTGCTCGGGGCTGAAGCGTCACTGGCTGAGGGTGTGCGTGCCGAGGAGGAGGAAGCCACCGAAGCGAGATGTTTGAAACTTTGCTCAGCAGGGCAGGGAATAACGAACGGAGATGTGCCCAGAGTTTGGGAAGGGACCAGAACCCCCACAGCAGGTCTAAAAATGCTAATTTCAGAACTACAGAATCACTTAAGGTGGGAACGAGCTCCAAAATCATCGAGTCCAGCCTGTGACCGATCAGCAGAGCGTGCTCTGGGTGCCACGTCCAGGTGTTCCTTGGACTCCAGACATCCCTGGACGGCCCCTTCCAGCGGTGGTGGCAATTCCCAGTTTGTGTGACCCTCTCTGCTGTGCCTGGGGCTGCAGAGCAGCCACAGTGACATCTCGGTCCCTGTCTTCGAGTGCTTCCCGAACCTTGGGACTTACGACTTGGGACAACCCTGGCAGGGAGAGCCCATCCTGCTCTGTGCCCATCACCGGCTGGGGACCGGTCGTTAAAACACGGCCGTGCTTGTGGAGGAGCAGCGGAGAAACAATTTCCTTGTCACATAAATCAGTGTGGGCGGTGGGAAAAAACTGATTTTAACTGCTTTAAGGGAAAACCTTTCTGCTGTGGAGCTGCTCGCGGGGCGACCGTGACCCCCCCACCATCCCCGGGGTCCCGTGGGCTGTGGATGGGAGGGAGGTGGCCGTGGCGATGGGATGGGGGTGGCCGTGTCCGGGCAGGGCTCGGGGGCGGAGGGAACGGGGGTCGCGGGGCTCACCTTGATGATGAGCGGGTTGCGCAGCATGCTGAGCCGGACCAAGCCCAGCCGCTCGTTCTCCGTGCCCGGGCCCGCCTCGGCCAAGGTCATCGGCCGCCGCCGGGACCCCGCTCTGCCGCCCGCCATGGCGCGGGGGCCGGTCCCGGCCCGCGGGGCTCTGGGCGGTCCCAGTCCGGGTGCCGGGGAGGTGTCGGTTGTTCCGGTGCCGGTGCCGGGGCTGTCTCGGCGGTGCCGGTACCGATCGGACACCGCGTCTCTGCACGGCGCCGGCGCCGGTGCCGGGGCTGTCTCGGCGGTGCTGGTGCCGGTGTCTCTGCACGGCCCCGGTACCGATGCGGGTCCGGTGTC